TTGGAGACAACGCTATCATGAGTTAGTTCATTTACATATATATTGAATAACTTTTAATATTATGTAACCAAATTTTAATAAACACTATTACGATTGTTGACGGTCAACGGTCAACAGTCAACCCGCCTTAGCTAGATTTCGATCCTGGATTCGTCCCTACCTCCAAATATGGGCTTAGCAGGCTAATGGCACCAGTGCTTTGCGTTGATATAAACCCTTTCTTTTCTCTTTCGTGTTGTATTACCATAGCTTCCAATGATTAAAATCAAATCCTTGAAAAATAAATGTCGAACCATTTTTCCTTCTACATGTTGGGATCAAATTATACTTGAAAAGTATACCTTTTATTTTTTTGGAAAATTAATTATATTATAAATATTCATTTTATTTGTTGATTTTGAGTTTATAGTTTCCCTTGCATATTGGATCAAGTTATACTTAAAAGTATTCCTTTTTCATTTTTTGCAAATTAATTAGAGGGAAAATTGCAGCATCAATCCCTAACGTTTTCATTTTTTTTTGTAAACTTTATCCGAAGCTTTATTTTGTGCCAAAAAAAGTCCCCTAACTTTTAATAAATATGCAGTTGGAGTCCAAATGTGTAATTCATTTGACCATTAATTGACCAAAAATTTTAATTTTGACCAAATTTAGTAAGGTAGTAAATTAATTAATTTCATATTAAAAAAAAAAAAACTTGTCCTTTTCACTTCACAAAACCTTACCCTACTCAACATCCTCAAATTCCAGAGGCTCCGCCACCAATTCCACTTCACATTTTCAATCGTCATTTAGGGAAAAAAAAAAAAACATAGTCTCTGATCTTTCAAATTTGCAACATCATTTTTCCAAAAGAAATGATTTTTCCTAAAACTTCTATAATTTCGAGGTGCAATTTGAGGAATCCTTTGTTGATGCTATCCAATTGGCAATACACCTTGAGGAATTCTTGATGTACGCTGCTGTGTTGTTGTTGTTCATGTGGGAAAGTGAACATCCTAGTTTTTGCCGTGTACAAGTTGTCGATAGGTCTGTTGCCATCGCGATAATGCAGCCGTGACGACAATACCCTCGACATCCACCCAATTTCTGGCTCGTCGACATATAAACGGTCTAGAATCAAACTTAGACAACGAAGACCGGTGAGAATTGACTCTATTCTTCTCATTTTTCGAGTGCGAAGTAAAATGGAGGTGGAGATTGGTGTGGGATAAGGTTGGAAAAGAAGACGAAATGAGTGGGGAGGGTGATTGTTAGACATCTTGTTGTAAAATAATCTCCCGAACAATGATGTAAACCAGTTATTAATTATCAGTCGGTATTTGCAATATGACTGAACAATATATCAATACCAAAATCGGAACAATCCGACCCAAGAATTGATTGGACCATTTGAAGTAACCAATTTTATTGTGTTGCTCGTGGGTTATATCTTTTACCTACTTGGATGGCTAACAATACTTGAGGCCCATTCTGTATTCCATTTATGTGTTATTGGGCCATAACCCATTACCTAGACCTAACTTACCTTATTTGAGACTTGGCCCAATATTTATTCACTTGGTCCTCGCGTCTCTCACTAGACTTGGTGTCTTCTTCTCTACTCTCTACATGCTCTCTTTCTCGGCCTACTCTATTGTCTTTTGCCTTTTTTTTTGTTTTGATTATCTTGGTGATATTCCTCCTTCTTTGTGGTGGTCTCTAAGTGGTAAAAGGTCTAGCAATCGTAGGTGGAATCTTTGTGGTGTTCTTGGGTCGTTTGATTTTGGTATTGATTCAGGTTTTGGTAACTGAGCATGTATAACGCCTTGGTGATTGAAGAATTCGATCCCTTACAACTGGTATCAGAGCGTAGGGTGTTAATTTCTATCAAAATTGGTCCAAAATCGAGAAAGAGGCGCCACCTTCAAACTGATCGAATCTGAAAACGTTAATTACTCCCAATCCAGACATCCATTGGACGAACGGAGACCAGACCCATGACCAGCAGGTCGAGGTGCCCCTGTGGTGGTGGCGCGTGGTGGCCTAACAGTGGTGCGTAGTGGACTTTCGATGTGATTTTTTATTGCAATTTCATTTATTTTAGTCATCTTAACGTACTGATTTGTTTGGTTTAGTGTTTCAGGTTGCACAAAAAAATTTGGATGATTTTGCCCTGACCTTTTATCTACATTTGTAGTTGACTGGAATTAGCGCATTTACTAAATCTTTAGGGCGAATAATGGTGGCTGTAAAGCAGCAAATTCGCATCTCTTTACGTTATAGACTCAGATAGGTTAGCTCTGGTAAATTGACTGAAACCTTTACATTATCTCCCTAGCAGATCATCATATGGGGTGATCATTAGAATTGGAGGTTATCATTGCTTGGAAACCATTGTTTGTACTAGAAATTAGGGTTACTTGCTCTTAATTAATTGATTGAGTACTTGTCTTTTGGTTAAATCTGTATTTAGTTCTTAGTGATATAGTTGCTATGAAACTGGTTATTTGTTAGACGTATTTTTGTTGAATTGTTACTTCCGCTGCTTATTAATTCCATTAGAATTACCGTGACCTTACCCGTTCGAATATTCCCTTTATCTAAGACTGCGAGTCTTACGAAACTCTGAGAATCTAGACCAATGTCTACTGTCTGTGATCCTAAGATTACTTTGTGTGGTTTGATTTTTTTGTGCATTCTTTGGCTGTTTTGTGAAGATGACAACTCACAACTTTGATTTGAAAATTTTTAACGGAAAAGATGATTGTTTTTTTTTATTTGGAAACAAAAAATGAAGGGTATTTTAGTTCAAAAAAAAAGTTCAAAAGCTATTGAAGGCAATTTTCCAACTGATTTTTCAAAAGAACAAAAAGAAGAAACCGATGAGCTTGCTTATAGCTCAATCATTTTACACTTGTCTAATGCAGTTTTGAGAAAAGTAGGTAAACTGAAAAACACCAAAGAACGTTGGAAAACATTGGAAGACCAATATTTGCTTAAATCTACACCAAATAAACTTTACTTGCTTGAACGCTTTTTCAAATTTAAAATGGATCCTTCAAAGGATCTCAATAACAATTTAGACGTGTTTAGCAAACTGGTGCAAGGTATCGTTAATTGTGATGAGGTTGTGTTAGAAACTTTTGAGGCTATAATCTTGCTCAATGCTATTCATGATTCTTATAAGGAAGTTAAAAATGACATTAAGTATGGTAGGAATACGTTGACACTTGAAATTGTCATAAATTATCTTAGGAGTAAAGAGATGAAAATTAGGGCTGACAAACACGATAAGAGAAGCGGTGAGTTACATATGATATGGGGTATGACTCAATTTGGGCAAAATATTCATGATGGATATCAAAGTGGTGGTGAGTCGAGTGGTAATGGATGGAAGAAAAAGGGCAGTGGTAGGTCTAGATCAAAGTCTAGAATTAAGGCTAGAAAATACCATGGTTGTAGAAACACATGACATTTTATAAAAGATTGTCATAAGGAGAAGGGTAAGTTAAAGGTTAAGGAGAAAGATGAGGTCAATGTGTCATCCTCTGCTTTCGACATAGATTACAGTAAGGTCTATATGATTATAAGTCCCATTGAATACACTGCTGAATTGAATCTAACTACTAATTCTCGCAAGTATAAGTGGATACTTGATTCTGGTGCATCTTTTCCTATGACGTCTAAAAAGAATTGGTTTGATAACTTGCACGAATCTATGCTGGGCATGTTGTGGTGTTTGATAATTTTGCCTATACGATTGCTGGAATTGATGACATAAATATAAAATTTGACACGAGTTTTGTGTACACGTTAAATGATGTTAGCTATATTCCTGAATTGTCTGGAAATTTGATTTCGGTAGGAGGAATTGAAAAAGATGACTTCACTGGTAAAATTGAAAATGGTATACTGAAGATGATTAATGATGCATTAGTTTCTATTAAGGTGACTAAGAAAAATGACATCTATATCATTATTGGGGAAGTGATTAGAGGTTTGAACTCCTCTATCTCTTCTGCCAAGATTGATCACACACACACATGACATAACAGGCTTGCACACGTAGACGTTAAGAGACTTAAGCTACTTAATGAAAAAGGTACATTTGGTAATAACTATGTGTCATATTTGTCATTTTGTGATTACTGCGTGCTTGGTAAGCATCATAAAACATCGTTCTCCATGAGTGTTCATAAAACTAAAGGCATGCTTGAATATGTGCATTCTGATCTATGGGGTCCTACTAGTAATCCTACATCGGGTGGGAATATGTATATCCTGTCTATTATCTATACTAGGAAAGTGTGACTCTATCCATTGAAAGATAAATCTAAGATCTTTCATAACTTTAATAACTGGAAGAGACAAATGAAAAATCAAATTGGCAAGAAGATCAAATTTTTAAGAATAGATAATGGTCTAGAATTTTGCAATACTGAATTCGATAGTATGTGCAAAGAAAATGGCATAACTAGATATAAGACAATTCCTTACACTTCCCAGCAAAATGGGGTAGCGAAAATGATGAATAAGACCATACTTGATAAAATACGTTGCATGATGTTAAGTTTTGGTGTCCCTAAATCTTTTTTAGATGAGGTTGTTATGACTGTTTGTTATTTGATTAATTTAACTCCATCTACTGCATTAAATAGTGACACTCCACATGAGAGATGGTCTGGTAAATTGAGTGATTATTCTATGCTTAGAACTTTTGGATGTGCTGCATTTTCTCATCAGAGTGAGTGAAAGCTTGAACCTAGAGCTAGAAATTTGGTGTCCCTAAATCTTTTTTAGATGAGGTTGTTATGACTGTTTGTTATTTGATTAATTTAACTCCATCTACTGCATTAAATGGTGACACTCCACATGAGAGATGGTCTGGTAAATTGAGTGATTATTCTATGCTTAGAACTTTTGGATGTGCTGCATTTTCTCATCAGAGTGAGTGAAAGCTTGAACCTAGAGCTAGAAAGTGTGTCTTTCTAGGATATCTCGAGGGTGTTAAGGGTTATATGTTATGGGATAGAAGCCAAAAGGAGGTTAAGATCATCGTAAATAGGGATGTCACATTTAACGAGAGTGACATGCCTCGTCATAAAGGAAAAATCGAACCTGCGAGAGAAACTAAACTAGATGAAGAGAAAGATCAGTTTAAGGTGAAGTTAGGAAAACTTAGTACGCCTACCCCTACTACTCCAAATGAGGTGGAGATTCAAGTTCAGGAACCTATGGTGGAGAATAGTAACGAAGTAGTAATAGAAGAGCATCCTAAGAAAGAAAATCCTTTAGCTAATTACAATTTAGTTAGGATAGAGAGAGGAGATAGACGAGAGACCCTAGGAGGTTTGGATTTGAATCTGAGTTAGCTTTCGCCCATGCTAGTTACGAAGAACTAGTCAATAGAGAGCCAAAAACCTTTGAAGAGGCGATGGTTAGTGATCAATCTAAAGAGTCGCTTAAGGCGATGAAAGAAGAGACGATTTCTCTAAAAAAGAATCATACTTGGGAGCTAGTACCTAAATCTAAGAATAAATAAATCTTTGATTGGAAATGGGTCTTTAAGGTTACGGAAGGTACCAATAGCTCAGAACCCTTAAGGTTTAAAGCTGGGTTAGCGGTTAATGTTACACATAGAAGGAAGACATTGATTATGATGAGATTTTCTCACCAGTTGTTAAGTACACTACTATTAGAGTCATGCTTGCATTGGTTGCACATTTTGACTGGAAACTTGAACAACTTAATGTAAAAACTGTGTTTTTATATGGTGAGCTTGACAAACAAATATTTATGAATAAGTCAAAAGGCTTTAAGGACAAGTCAAAACCTGATTACGTGTGTTTTTTGAAAAGATCCCTGTATGGTTTAAAACAGTCACCTAGACAGTGATACAAGAGGTTTGATTCCTTTGTACTCATGATTGGGTTCCAAAGAAGTAAATTTGATCACTGTTTGTATTTTCAACACAACGAGACTGATAATAATTACTTATTTTGTTGCTCTATGAGGACGACATGCTTTTGATTGGTTCTTCTCCTAAGTGAATAAATGATATAAAAGCAAAGCTAAGTGATGAATTTGACATGAAAGACCTAAGTAGGGCTATAAGCATGGAAATAGAAAGAGGTAGGTCAAATTTTATTCTATTTTTGCATCAATCTCCATATATATCTAAGGTGTTAAAGAAATTTAATATGAGTGATTGCAAACCTGTCACGTTGCCCCTTGCTAATCATTTTGTTTTATCTAAAGAATAATCTCCTTGCAATGAACGTGAAGTAGAATACATGAGTAGAATTTCGTATTCTAATGTGATTGGTTCCATTATATATTTAATGGTTTGCACTAGACCAGATGATTTTCTTGTTAGTACTCTCAATAGGTACATATCTAATCTAGGTCTTGAACATTGGAAAGCATTAAGGTGGCTATTAAGGTACTTGAAGGGTACAATTGATATAGGTCTAAAGTTTAGTGCTAATAAGGAAGGTGTGAAATTGAACGGCTTTGTAGATGCTAATTATGTGGGAGATAGGGATGGTAGGAAATCGACTTCCTCCTATGTGTTTACCTTATCTAATTCATGTGTTAGTTGAAAATCTTAGTTACAACACATTGTTGCACTATCCACTATAGAGTTAGAATATATTGCTATCACTGAAGCGATTAAAGAGGCTCTATGGCTTAAATGTTTACTTCATGAACTATGTGTCTTGAATAATTATTTGGTAGTGTATTCTGATAGTCAGTCATCTATACATTTATGCAAGAACCTTGTTTTTCACGAACGCAGTAAACACATTGATGTTAGACTACACTTTATTAGAGATATAGTAGCTTAAGAGGTGGTAAGACTTGAAAAGGTCCACACACAATACAACCCTTCAGATATGGGCACGAAAGTACTGTCAATGGTAAATTTTAGAAGTTGCAATGACCTTCTAAACATTGGTACAGGTAAATGATTTCCAATTTTATTGGTTTTTCAGTTAAAGGTGTCATTAATGAGAAATGTTTTCTTTTGCAGATCTTTTAACACCAAGGTAGAGGTTGTTAAACATATTGTTGTCAAACGACCTCCCAGACAATGATTTAAACCAGTTATTAATTATCAGTCGACATTTGCAATATAACAGAATGATATATCAATACCAAAATTAGAATGACTCAACCCAAGAAGTGATTGGACCATTTGAAGCAACTAATTTTATTGTGTTGCTCGGGGGCCAAATCTTCTACCTACTTGGATGGCTAGCAATACTTGAGGCCCATTCTATATCCATTTATGTGTTATTGGGCCATGACCCATTACCTAGACCTAACTTACCTTATTTGAGACTTGGCCCAATATTTATTCACTTGGTCCTGCACGCCTCTCACTAGACTTGGTGTCTTCTTCTCTACTCTCTGCGTGTTCTCTTTCTCAGCCTACTCTACTGCCTTCTGCCGTCTTTCTTTGTGTTGATTATCTTAGTGATATTCCTCTTCCTTTGTGGTGGTCTCTAAGAGGCAAAAGGTCTAGCAACCATATGTGGAACCTTTGTGGTGTTCTTGGGTCGTTTGATTTTGGTATTGATTTGGGTTTCGGTAACTGAGCCTGTATAATGCCTTAGTGATTTAAGAATTCGGTCCTTATAGTGACAATGGTGGCTATGGAAGAAGATGGTGAGGTGGGTGGCGACAGCAAATTTGCTAATTTTTTTGGATTTTGTCTTGCGTGGGTGGGCGTGGGGGTGGGTTGTGAGGAAGAGATGATAGTAGCCATTTTTTTTTAAATATTAAACTTACCATTTATATAGGGGTGTCAACGAGCTAAGTCGAGCTGACTCACGAGTCAAAAATTGAGACACGGGCTCGACTTGAGCTTTTTTAAGTTGAGCTTGTTTGGCCCAAACCGAGCAAAAGCTTGGCCAAAAAATCAAGGCTCCACTCGAGCTTTCAGCTCGAGCCAACTCGATTTTTTTTCATTTCATGGCAGAAGCCTCACTGCCTTTTATAATTATTTTTTTAATTTCAAGTCGGCTTGACACCCCAAGATGGGGCTCAACTGAGGCTCGAGCTTTTTAAGGGCCGGGCCACGAGCGGTCCGAGTCCACTAGCTATTTTGCAATCACTACATTGACCCCTTCTGATCTAGTAAAAATTGGTCGAAGTTCACTGTTTATAGTCAACTAATAGTCAAATTGATGTTTTCCCATTCATTTCGGACTCCGACTACATCTTTATTAAAGGTTAGGAACCGTCTATGACACAAAAATGAAAGTTAAGATAAAATCTAGAAAAATTGAAAATGTTAGGAATCGCTGCTGCTGTGTTCCCTTAATTATAATATAAATATTTTAAATATTACATTTTATTTGTCATTTTACGGTTGATTTTGAGTTTAATGATTAAGGCCCTGTTTGAACCCCATTTTAGGGAAGAAAATGTATTTTTAAAAAGTGATTTTTTGAAAATGTGTGGTATAAAATAAGACAAAATTTTCGATTTACGTGCAAAAATTATTTTATTTGAGAATGTATAATTAAAAATGAATTTTAAAAAATAAATTTTTGAAAACTAGGGCTCAAACAAGGGCTTATTAGTGTCTAAAATCTCCTATGAAGAATTCTTCTTCTTCGGTTTTGTTTTTTTTTTTTTAAATGCAAACATCTACAAAGCAAGTATTTTATATATATCGTTGTCTTTCTTATCCGTAAGCAAGCCAGTTAACAAGAAAGGTTGTTCCAGTCAAAATACATTTCTCTCTAGGAAAAACACTCTGTTAAATATTTATGAAATTTAAAATTTATAAACTTTATATAATTGTCAAAATTTCCAGGTCAATCACTAAGAAAAATAATTATTGCGGAACATACCTTGATCTATTAATTTGTATCTCAAATGATGAATCTTAAATTATAATCATTGAGTCTTGTTTTCCGAATCTTTAATCTTGATTCTTGATTATGAATTCTTGAATAATCCTTCTTGATTGTAGATTATTTGTTCTTGATTGTGGATTTTTAGATCTTCCTCTTCAATATACTTTCTTTATCAATTCTTATGTTGATAGGATGACAAAAAAAATGAGGAATTGCATATAAATGGGGAATCATAGTCCTATATATAATTTCCATATGTATTTATAATTTAGCCCACACTTTAGTTAGAAACCCTAAGCCCAATTACTTAATGCTTTATTAGATCAATTTAATTTTGGACTTAACTTTAAAATGGCTTATATACGCAATTAATTACATACATCGGCCCACATAACAAATTAATAAATTCTTAACAATCTCCCACTTGGCCAAATATGTTAACTTTTAAATGTGCATTACCTTATGAACTCAAAACTTTTACTATCATAATCAAAAGATATCTCTAAACAATCTCGTCCATTAATTATGCTAATATAGGATCAAAGTAGTCTTTGTTACAATTATCATAAGTAAATCATCGATGGTAACGTATATCAACACAATCAAATGATATAGATCAAGTATGGATGTGTAGCATGAAAATTACATACAATGTGATTTCAACATGCTTATTTCCAATTGATCCTACCTTATAAGATTAAACCAAAACTTTAATCAGAATGAACCTGAACTGAATTCTTTATTTCTAAAATAAATCGAATATTCATAGATAGAATTATGTGTCCAAAATGGATAGCATCCGAATACAAATTCCCACTAAACTAGTATCACAAAAAATGCAACAACCGTGTGAACAGTATGCTCATGAAAGACCTTGGGTGATAGCCCCTCAGTAAGCGAATCTATAATTATAGAGTTTGTCCTAATTATTCCATAGAAATTTGAACACTCTAAATTATTTCCTTAACAACTATGAACTTAATGTATATAAACTTTGACATTTTCAATCTATTAATTTGTATCTCAAATGATGAATCTTAAATTATAATCATTGAGTCTTGTTTTCCGAATCTTTAATCTTGATTCTTGATTATGAATTCTTGAATAATCCTTCTTGATTGTAGATTATTTGTTCTTGATTGTGGATTTTTAGATCTTCCTCTTCAATATACTTTCTTTATCAATTCTTATGTTGATAGGATGACAAAAAAAATGAGGAATTGCATATAAATGGGGAATCATAGTCCTATATATAATTTCCATATGTATTTATAATTTAGCCCACACTTTAGTTAGAAACCCTAAGCCCAATTACTTAATGCTTTATTAGATCAATTTAATTTTGGACTTAACTTTAAAATGGCTTATATACGCAATTAATTACATACATCGGCCCACATAACAAATTAATAAATTCTTAACAATCTCCCACTTGGCCAAATATGTTAACTTTTAAATGTGCATTACCTTATGAACTCAAAACTTTTACTATCATAATCAAAAGATATCTCTAAACAATCTCGTCCATTAATTATGCTAATATAGGATCAAAGTAGTCTTTGTTACAATTATCATAAGTAAATCATCGATGGTAACGTATATCAACACAATCAAATGATATAGATCAAGTATGGATGTGTAGCATGAAAATTACATACAATGTGATTTCAACATGCTTATTTCCAATTGATCCTACCTTATAAGATTAAACCAAAACTTTAATCAGAATGAACCTGAACTGAATTCTTTATTTCTAAAATAAATCGAATATTCATAGATAGAATTATGTGTCCAAAATGGATAGCATCCGAATACAAATTCCCACTAAACTAGTATCACAAAAAATGCAACAACCGTGTGAACAGTATGCTCATGAAAGACCTTGGGTGATAGCCCCTCAGTAAGCGAATCTATAATTATAGAGTTTGTCCTAATTATTCCATAGAAATTTGAACACTCTAAATTATTTCCTTAACAACTATGAACTTAATGTATATAAACTTTGACATTGTCAAGTTCCTGTTGGAATAGAAGACTGCTATTATCACAGAATAACTAAATTGGTTTTTCAAATCCATTCAAAATATACAGCTTAGTGACAAAATTTTGCAATTATATTCCATGATCAAAATCAGAATATTCAATGATTTCCAATTGGTCTGATTTTCCTGAATGTGATCATGTGATCTCAATACTCTATAAACACCGAATAAACTAATTAGCTGCTTTCCAAATATCCATCCCAGAGTTATTTAAATATTTACCTAGCATTTAACCAATGAATGTCATATCCAAACGTATGCAAATATTAGTATACATTAAACTTCCAATTGCTAAAGTATAGAAAATTTTCTGTACTTTCATATCTTTAAGTTTATTCTTTGATCATTAACTAAGACTAAACTTATCTCCCTTAATAATAGGAATATCATCTAGTTTACATACTTGCACCCAAATCCTTTAAGAACTTTATCAATATAGTTCTTTTGTGATGATTCAAATATACTCCGAGATTGATCCCAACGTATTTGTATTCCTGATATAAAAGAAGCGTTATCAAGATCTGTCATCTCAAAATTTCATGATAGAAATCTATTGGTTTCATCCAATAATCCTTAACCATTGCAGGCGAATAGTATGTCATTGACATCCAATACTAGAAAATATGTCTACTCCCACTGAAATTGTAATATACACAATCATCAACTGAACTCATCTCAAAATCAAATGAGATAATTATTTGATAAAATTTGTAATACCATTGACGAGAAACCTATTTAAGCACATAGATTGATTTTTTAAATTTGTAAACCATCAAATATAGTTTAAGATATAATGCCATAATAATCATAAAAGAGTCTTTCGTAGAAATCGGAGAAAATGTCTCTTTAAAGTCAATGTCTTTCTTTTGAGTAAAGTCATTTGCAACAAGATGGGCCTTATATCTCTTCACATCATCCTTTGAATCCCTCTTGCTTTTAAATATCCATTTACAACCAATGGATTTCGCGTACCTTCAGGCAATGGGATGAATTCTCAATCGTCATTGTCGTCATTGTTGATCATGAACTTTGTATCTTAATTCACGGCAACAATCAGTTCTTAAGAATTATTCATTTGCATTGCATAATGAAAGTTGATCTCAAATCTTATTCTTAAATTTTGGTTCAAGCACGAGAATTTAATTGATGTTGATAGATATTATAGAAGTAGATGGATTAACCGAATAGAGAACCTAAACCTAAATAACATGTTCACACAGAAATTCGTATTGGACAGTCAATAATTCAAAGTGGTGAGCCCCATCACAAGAGATCGGACGCAATATTGATATTTAGTCTTTGAACAGAAATATTTTGTAAGTGGTACTCTTGGTGCAGTAATCAAATATTCATAATGAATCCGGTTAAACATCAACTCATCTAGGACCAACTCAATGTTTACATAGTGAGAAACTTTACAATTGTCACATATTTATTACCACATATATGTAAATAGTTCTGCCAAATATTGACCCTTCTTTGGGTTAGGGAATATTCGCATCAATTACATACACACAACTCTTCTAATATTCCAAATAAATTAATTTAGGCAAAAGGGATTACTTTTGTAACATGTTGCTTCAACTAATCTATTTTAAAAAATTAATAATATGAAATAAACTTTGAATACCAAGATTTGAAATTGATTGGCCATTTACATTTTTTATTTTTTATTTATTATTTTTCTCTTTTGTGGTCAAAAGAAAAAATATTTCGAAAAAAATTAGCGCTGCCTAAGCGTTGCAACACCCATTCTGGGCGCATTTTGAATCAAAATTTTCGAGAAAATCCCATAAATCTGAATTTTGAATTTTATGAGTTAAAATTTATATCCTAAATTGAAAATTCCAAATTAGAACTTTCAACCCTAAAATTCTTTATTGAATAATTCTGAATTTCAAAATTTATGGTTGAAATTCTTATTCCAAATTAAAATATTCTAAAAACTTAATGTATGTATTTCAGCAACAAATTTCTTCCTTTAATCCTAATCATTTAATATGGATTCTACTCTAATATAACTTGTTGAATATTTATGAAATTTAAACTTTATAAACTTTATATAATTGCCAAGATTTTCATGTCAAATCACTTAAAAAAAAAAAAAAACAGAACAGAACAGAGCAAAAAATTAATACGAAATATACATTAATCCATATCTCAAATGATGAATTTTGAATTATAATCTTTGAATTTTGTCTTTTGGATCTTTAACATTGATTCTTAATTATGAATTTTTGAATCCTTCTCCTTGATCGTAGATTGCCTGTTCTTGATTGTGAATTTTTGAATATTCCTTTTCAATATGCTTTCTTTATTAATTCTTGTGTCGATGAAATTACTCAAACAATAAGAAATTGCATATGAATTGAGAACTATAACCCTATATATAATATTCATATATATTTCGCCAATCAAGAAATACAATTCTAAAGGAATCTACTTTTACATGTATTCCGACCCACACTTTATTTAGATGCCCGAAACTCAATTACTTAATTATTTTTTAGATCACTTTAATTTTGAACTTTACTTTACAATAATCATAAACACAATTAATTACATATGTCAATCCACATGACAAATTAATAATTTCCAAGCATTGTCTACCTAGGGCCAACTTTTAAAAGTTCGACTTAAGTTTGAAAAATCTCAAGTTCAACCCTGCATTGACTTATCTTCATCTAGAAAGCTGTTAAATCTCTCCAAACAAGATTTAGAGCAATTAGCGTAAATAGTCTAGACTCATTTTCGTATATGTAAGTATATATAAAACATGCTAAATAATAAATACATAATACTAGACAAGTGCCATAAGACGAGAGATCACTTGGTAGAGAAGCCTTCAAGAGACAGTTGGCATTTTCTATTCCCTCTTCCCCATCTTAGGCTAACATGTGAATTCTCTTGCTCTTTTCTTAGTGATTGTTCTTCTATCATACCCTAAATTGTCAAAATCTTCTTTGAACAGAAATATTTTGTAAGTGGTACTCTTGGTGCAGTAATCAAATATTCATAATGAATCCGGTTAAACATCAACTCATCTAGGACCAACTCAATGTTTACATAGTGAGAAACTTTACAATTGTCACATATTTATTACCACATATATGTAAATAGTTCTGCCAAATATTGACCCTTCTTTGGGTTAGGGAATATTCGCATCAATTACATACACACAACTCTTCTAATATTCCAAATAAATTAATTTAGGCAAAAGGGATTACTTTTGTAACATGTTGCTTCAACTAATCTATTTTAAAAAATTAATAATATGAAATAAACTTTGAATACCAAGATTTGAAATTGATTGGCCATTTACATTTTTTATTTTTTATTTATTATTTTTCTCTTTTGTGGTCAAAAGAAAAAATATTTCGAAAAAAATTAGCGCTGCCTAAGCGTTGCAACACCCATTCTGGGCGCATTTTGAATCAAAATTTTCGAGAAAATCCCATAAATCTGAATTTTGAATTTTATGAGTTAAAATTTATATCCTAAATTGAAAATTCCAAATTAGAACTTTCAACCCTAAAATTCTTTATTGAATAATTCTGAATTTCAAAATTTATGGTTGAAATTCTTATTCCAAATTAAAATATTCTAAAAACTTAATGTATGTATTTCAGCAACAAATTTCTTCCTTTAATCCTAATCATTTAATATGGATTCTACTCTAATATAACTTGTTGAATATTTATGAAATTTAAACTTTATAAACTTTATATAATTGCCAAGATTTTCATGTCAAATCACTTAAAAAAAAAAAAAAACAGAACAGAACAGAGCAAAAAATTAATACGAAATATACATTAATCCATATCTCAAATGATGAATTTTGAATTATAATCTTTGAATTTTGTCTTTTGGATCTTTAACATTGATTCTTAATTATGAATTTTTGAATCCTTCTCCTTGATCGTAGATTGCTTGTTCTTGATTGTGAATTTTTGAATATTCCTTTTCAATATGCTTTCTTTATTAATTCTTGTGTCGATGAAATTACTCAAACAATAAGAAATTGCATATGAATTGAGAACTATAACCCTATATATAATATTCTTATATATTTCGCCAATCAAGAAATACAATTCTAAAGGAATCTACTTTTACATGTATTCCGACCCACACTTTATTTAGATGCCCGAAACTCAATTACTTAATTATTTTTTAGATCACTTTAATTTTGAACTTTACTTTACAATAATCATAAACACAATTAATTACATATGTCAATCCACATGACAAATTAATAATTTCCAAGCATTGTCTACCTAGGGCCAACTTTTAAAAGTTCGACTTAAGTTTGAAAAATCTCAAGTTCAACCCTGCATTGACTTATCTTCATCTAGAAAGCTGTTAAATCTCTCCAAACAAGATTTAGAGCAATTAGCGTAAATAGTCTAGACTCATTTTCGTATATGTAAGTATATATAAAACATGCTAAATAATAAATACATAATACTAGACAAGTGCCATAAGACGAGAGATCACTTGGTAGAGAAGCCTTCAAGAGACAGTTGGCATTTTCTATTCCCTCTTCCCCATCTTAGGCTAACATGTGAATTCTCTTGCTCTTTTCTTAGTGATTGTTCTTCTATCATACCCTAAATTGTCAAAATCTTTGGAGGAAAAGTCACACGACGTGAAATTACAAGAAAAATTACATTATGTTGTGAAACTTGAGTTACTATGCTGGTACATGGAATCCAAAATTTTGCAACATTTTCTTAGAATCTTATTGTGTTACGAATGCATAAATTTTAAAACTCAAAACCCACCATTCTTTTACCTATTGCTGAAGTCTTTAGAAAATTATAAATTTAGCATGACTGCTGCTTATTTTTGCAAGTTGTACAGTCGGCCTCTATCAATCAGTTTCCAAAGTGCTGCCTTAGCTTCATCTAGTGTTTCAACAAAGTGCCCTTCTTCAAACGATATCCTCTGGATGTTAAACTGCAGGCCAAGAAAGGAAGTTAAGCTACATCCCCCATACGGTGGAAGAACAGAAAAAGAATTGATGCAATTGAGATAACCTGAGCGCCTTGACGGACACGAATGTCAATCCCCTTGCCATCTATTGATATGAGAGCAGCATCATCTATCTCAGCTTCTTTGGACAAAAGCTCTTTTAAGGGCTTTGAAAAGATTGCGTTTAGTTCCTATGGAAACAGAGCCGTTAAATTCAACACAAGTCAATGTGCAGTGAATTGTTATAACCAAGCTCCACCACAACTATGGCAAAAATAAAAATTTCACTAGCTGTAAGTATCTAGTTAACATATAGATAGCATCATGAGGTTGTAAACAATAATTGAAAGACAAAAATGCGCCAAAAAGTGATTGATATAGCATAACACAAACCTTCAAATTTTGCTCGCCACCGTCAACAGCAATCTTATCAGGTTGAAGGGCCTCATATTCTTTAACATCAATCCAAGCAACAGTTCCAAACCCCCCAATGAAATATATGTCACTGCCAGTAAGATGTGAATCCTGTTTAGTTCTTCAAATGCTTATCCTGATGATTCTCTCATCTAATTGCAAATAATTTAAGGTTGTTCTCCAGCCTTCCAATATTTTTTCTGCATACAATTGCACTACCAACAGATAGCTGCATGATGTATGCGGATGGCTGAAATTTAATTACAACTCTGATGTTTCCATCCCTTCAAAATCTAGTGATAACCAAATATAATTAAAAACCTGACTAAATTCATGATATTTTGGTTCGTTCACAGCCATTAACATGTGAAGAGAGTCTCTTAAGAGACAAATGACAGAGTCAAGGTATATATAAAAAAAGACACTACAAATCACACAAACAGATGAAGAAAACCGAGTAAAAAGAAGAGCAGAAAAGCTGGATTTCTGCAGCTATTAGTTTGAGTTGGGACAAGAATAACCTTTTGCTTTAAGGGTGGATTTTTAAAACTACATCAGTTCAAGGTATCAAAACATCATTTCAGAATTCCAAAGATATTTCAATACCATTATATGCCACATATTAGGAAGAAAATGCTGGAGATTACAGATTGTTTGAGGTAAGCTGTAGCTGGGCTATTACAGGAGTACTAATTCCGTGGATGCATGGCTGGATAATGCTCAAACTAATTCTACATATCACCGCTGAGCCTTGGGGCACTTGTGATTCCAAAAAAATTCAATGTTCATCTCGAAGCTCCGAACAAGATTGTGTCATGATATGATGACATATTTATATCTTAAAATTTAAGGTGTTGAACAAATAAAAGCATTTAGCTAAATTAAATCTCAAATCGACATTCAGAACAGGTAAGATTAGGGTACAGGGTGAAGGGGGGAAAAAACCATCAGATATAAATGATCCAAGTCTTACAACTGATCACATATGAGGTAAACATATATTCAAATCCTGAAAGCGACCAAACTATAGTGAAATGGATGAGGGCGTCATAAAATTTTGAGAATAATATGGAGAGTTTCATTGCAGATATTTTTGGAGTGTTTTAAAAAGTTAATTGAGCAATGTAAAAAACCGCAAACATGATGCTGCAAACTATTATGAAGTCAAAAATAGTATACAAAAAAGTTAACCTTATGTTCTGCATCCTAAAGTAGTAGAAGTTTCCCCACTTCTGAGAAGGTCCTTGTTGATGCTTTGCTATATACTGCTTATGAGCCCATTCCTGGCAATGCAATGAGATATAACCATCAGTCAAAAGTGCTTCATTTTATTATCTGTTATGCAAGTGATTTAGAGTATGTTTGGTAAAAAAATATGCAGATTATAAGTTGTGGGTCTTACAAAATGGTTGGATAATAAGAGAGTAGTAGTTGTTGGTCTTAAGAAATGTGTAGATAAAACGTATTTTTTAACAGCTTAAATTATAATTTAAGCTTTGTTAGACATGCACTTAGTCACAACATTTTAACATCAGTAGATCCATATCAACAACACACATGAGGTTTATGAATCCAGTATTAATTGTCAAAATTCATAAATGCAAATTCCCGGCACATGGAAGCCAATAAATAGCAATTATTTAAGAAATTCTAAGTTCAATGAAGTAAAATTCTTAGCTAAGGATTTTTCATCACAACTTCCACATATGTGAACAGCAAAAGGCTTTTCATTTCCAAATGTGTGAATGCAAGTACGACAACAATTAATGATTTTTTTTTTTTTAAATACTTATTAATTCCATATATCAGTTGAAGAAGGAAATATAACCTGCTGATCTTCATGAAGAGGGTATACATCACCAAAGATTGTTACCCTTGCATTTGATAAGCCACTCCATCCGGGAATCTAAACAAATTTGCAGATCAATGTAACCCATAGTTGAAGAAAGGCAAAATAAAACATTGAAATATATGTATAGGGTAAAATACTAACCTGCACAACTAGAGTGCATCTTGGATCAGCTAACAAATTTCTTGTATGTATAGCCAGTGGTGAAAATGAAAATATCGGATCTGCAGAACAATTAAGGAATTAATCCCTCTATACTGGATTGATAGCTCATTTTAATGTAGCATGAATATGTATGTACAAGTAACCAAGTAATGTTATTTGCAAGGTTTTAGATTTTTAACCCCAACTTGAGACAGAAATGAGAGAGTTTTTGCTTAGAATGCAAATGAAATACAAAGGTGGATTATTCTGCTGAGGGTAGTATAGGAAAGAATAACACAAAGGAAATACTTTTAGCAAGTTGCTATGAAGTGTTCTTAATTTGGACGTCACCAAAAAGAAAGTGAAGCATTCAAGTTGGGAAATATAAATGGCACGTGGACAGATATGAAGGGTGGCATTCTGCAACAGCCCAGTGTTAGTCTGCCAGTTGTTGGGTATTGAAACAAGACTTAAAAGGATTGCATTCAATATGCTTCTCTAACTTTAATTAAAATCCAAATTTCATTGCAAAACAAAGAGTAAAGAAAGTTAATAGCTTGTACATGTAATTGAACTGATTAATCCATAGAACATAAGAGGAGAAGGGCATTCCTTTCTTCAGGTTTACATAACATATTACATATGCACATGTCACCAAGAAAAGAGCTGAAATATGTATACTTCTCTAGTCATATGAAATTTAAACTTGAGGATCAAGGCCAAACACATGGGTATTGAAATGTTTGCTTTCCCTAAGTGGAAAGCCCCAGAGAAGAGTAATTAATTGATTAGCATTGTTATGAAACTCAAAAAGAAAGCAACAACAAATCATGTAAAAAATGAAAGATAACTTACGCCCCATGGGATCTGGCGCGAAATCTACGAGTGAACCAAATGGATAGCCTTCCCGATGATGGTGCATCCGGGACATCACAGTACACAAGTGAGCAAACCTAGCCTTCAATTATTGGAATGCCGTGAAGAAATAAACATATCAGGAGGACCACTCTTCACAAATTGCAACAGAGGAGACAAAATATATACCTGTTCCATTAAATTCCGAACTGCTAAGGCTGGTCTGGGCAAGCCGTGAGCAGAAGTTGCACTCTGTACTCCACCAGATATTGGCGTTCTGAAAAGCCCTGCCCTTGTACCTCCTCCCCCTGTTGTATTTCCATATGAGAGCACAAGAGGAGGTGTTGTCACACTCGATGTTGTGTCCGCATTTTTTTCACTACTTTGTTTGAAATCTAAATTACCCTTCAAAGTACGAGAGAGGCCATCACAACAAAGCTAAAGTAGCCATTTGAAATATCCATTGACGAACTATTACATCATGGAAAGAGACACAATCTACCAAGCTTTGGTTAGCGTGCATAAGTGCAACAATAACAAGGCCCCAAAATGCACACCTACCTCATCTAAAAGGCTTACAAACTCCCAGCATCAAAATAAGTCTTTATTAACATTCGAAATACCAGACATCGAAGTAATAAATGTGTCGACATGTAATGTATTTCGAGAATAATATCAACATGTGTGGCACCGAAACTCATACTACACTCTAGTGAGTAGAAATTAACTGTAGTAAACTAATTAATCTTGTTAATTAACATAAAGAGGACATAAATTCAAAAAGAAACATGTGCAACATGATTCCGATTTGATCATCAAAAAAAAATCTCTTCAAGTGGACCAGCCTATCTGCTGTATACGGTTTACAAAACGGTTGGAACAAAGACACATTTCGTTGTGAATTCCAATGTGGCAGACATATATCTACACAGATCAATCAATAGTTCAAGTCACACACTCCCATAATCCATTTTCTCGTCAGCGAATTCCCTTCAACTCTACATTTATTTGACATGATTGGTTGAAGTTTTACTAATCGTTTGCAGTTTTACTCAAACTCCATTATAGCATTTTTATTTCGACAAAATTCTAGCTATCGAAAAAAGGGGGGAAAATGATTCATAGTAATATTACCTGAGATAAAGACACACCTTGTTCAGTAACTAAACTGAATCCGCCATTATCATTCTCTGGTACGATCTCTTCTTTATCATTGCCTTCGTCCGATATTTCACTCCCAACCGCGAAAACTCGAAACCCAAAATCTAAATTCGCCTTTTTAGGTAAACTCAAGTTCATTTTCAGGGACCCACAATGCTTGCTGCTTGTTTTGATAGATTGAATTGCAGATACAGACTCGTAGAGCTTCGGAATATGCAAAATGGAGCTCGAAATTGCTTCCATCGATGAAGATACAGACAGAGAAGCCATTTGAATGTGTACGTATATCACTATATGTAGCGAAAGTTTGAATTGGACTGCGTAGAGAAGATCATTATTCAGTGAAGAAAACGAGAAAAAGAGGACTTTGAGGATGCTTTACTGTTCCGAAAGGGGGGAGGCGGGCTTGTCTCGGAAAGGTTTTCTGGAGGAAAGAAGGGTAAAGTCGAGGGAGAAGAGAAAATTGGGTAAATTTCATCAATGGCCACTGTACTCTGCACTTACCATATCATTGGCCACACAACTTTAATTTGTTTAGACCCTTATCAGACTTTATAAAATGCGTTGTTCAGGCCATCAACAAAAATGGGTTAATTTTACCTATGACAACATGAACTTTATAAAATTCAAAAAGAAAGCATCTCTCATGTAATTGTAGATTTTTAAAATAGTTTTGTCACACAAGTAAAATAAACATTGTTAAAAAAAAAAAAAATTCTCTGTGCTAGCTGATATGAAATTTGTCAAACTTTTAATGTTTGACATTGTCAGAGCTCTAATTAGATTTTTATAATTTTTAGAGCATTCGATTTCTCTTTTCCTTTCATTTTATATAATTCTAAAAATGTGTAGGAGTTATATTATATAGTAGATAGAATTAATTGGATTCCAAATTTTGCGTTCGATAGTCTATTCAATAAACATCAATTTCATGTAGCGTGTAAGTATTTCAACTTGAATATCAGTTAGAATACTATTTATAAGGCCATAGATTGATGTTGTTAATTAGTAGATTATAACAAGTCTGTAACTTTGAATATTTGAAATTTGAATAAAATGCTTACGCTAGCTAGCTTAACTATGCATTCATTGACAATTCAAACACAATGATAAGAAGGGAATAAAAATTGTAAGTATATATATATATTAGGTAGGATGAGAGATCAAATTAGGGTGAGCCACTATTAACGAATATTTTATTCAAACTTTGATATTTCAAACTTACAAACTTGATAAAAATCAGCTAAATAACAACATAAGACAAGGGCATAATGCATTAGAGACGATCTAAGTAACCCATCGAGAACCTTAGGCAGTATGGGAGAGAATTTCTAAAATTGATGTTCTTAATGGGCTCGATTTGTGATATTTAAAGGTTTTTTCTAAGTTTAAAATCTTGCATACAAATATATTGTATTGTGAGTACACACAGACATGTTATTTACACTTCGATTTACTAAATAAATGCACACTTCGTCAACACGTTTGTTCGTTTCCAATTTTCTTTTAAATAATAATAGATAGTTGATTAACTTGGTGGCTTGACTGACAAGTTTTATAACGTTTGGTAATGGAACTGAGATAAATTAAAGTTGATGGACAAGATGACAGTAAGTACAAAAATACAGTGCCCATGGATGAAATTAAAAAAAGATAGGTGTTAAGGAATTTGGATAGGATCTGATTTGGATGTGACGGTGATAAATAGAGTGGGCCATGTTCGCAGTGGCCCAATAAATATGGGAAAATTAAGTAAAACCATTAATTTTAAGTTTGAATATCATTCATCATATTATTAAGGGATTTGAAAGGGATTAAAATTAAATTTTTAGTAGATTTTGATAAAAATTGACTAGAAGTTTGGTTGAAAAGATGTGAACCTTATAAAATATAATGTTAAAATTAATTGTTGATTTTGATTTAAATTTTAATCAAATTTTATAGCGATATCAAACAAGAGCTAAGATTTATTTTAAATTTTGGTTTTTTAAAATACAAAATATGCATTTTAATATTCATAAAATTAAATTATCAAAAGTTTAATAATTAATCCTTAAATTAAAGGTAATTAAATAAGGATAATTACGATATTTCCCCCCTCCCCTCGCCACCCCACCCCACCCCGTCTCTCCTTCCACGCAACAATGATTTCTCTAATGATGGTGTGGTGATGGTACATGGTATGGAGATAGTGGTGCAGTGCATCCACAGTGGTGGTAGGTAGTGCGATCTACGATGATGGTGGTAGTGTTTGTCAATAAATTGTGATTGAGCAATAATTTGTGACATATAAAATTTGTGATTTGTGACTATGACGATCTATGATTATGACTAATACGTAACTATGATTATAAACTGTATAATACTGTGACCTTAATCTATTTAAATATTTATTTAGTAATACACACACACACACACACACTAAAACTAAGAATATAGAAGCCACAAATTTAGACTTAGAAAATTTTAAAATACATATAAAAGAACTTTTAGAATTAGGAGTGATTAGAAAATCAAAAAGTTCTCATAGATTAGTAGCCTTTATTGTTAGAAAACATTCAGAAATTGTTAGAGGAAAAAGTAGAATAGTAATTAATTATAAAAGATTTAATGATAATACTATAGATGATGCTTACAACATACCAGACGAAACGATTTTAATAAATAAAATACAAGACTGTAAAATTTTTAGTAAATTTGATTTAAAATCATGATTTTGCCAAGTAAAAATACACTTAGAAAGTATTAAATGGACAGCTTTTACTTGTCCAGAAGGACATTTTGAATGGCTTAAAAATGCATCTAGTATTTTTCAAAGAAAAATGAAAAATATTTTTAATAAACATAGTAAGTTCGTAATAGTATATATAGATGATATTTTAATATTCAGTAAAAATAGAAGAGAACATAGAGGACATTTACAAATAGTTTTTTCAGAATTTATTAAACATGGTCTAATAATTAGTAAAAAGAAAATGATTTTATTTAAAGAATTTATAGATTTTTTAGGAGTTAATATAGGAGAAGGAAAAATTAAGTTACAACCTCATATAGCTCAGAAAGCTTTAGAATTTTCAGATGAACTTGAAGATTTAAAACAAATTCAAAAATTCTTAGGAATAGTAAATTATGCTAGTCCATTTATACAAGATTTGAAAAAAATTGCAGGACCTTTATATGCAAAGACCTCTCCTACAGGACAAAAATTTTTTAATCAATAAGATATAAAGTTAATACAACAAATAAAAGAAAAAATAAAAACTTTACCAGAATTGACCATGTCGTTAGATTCAAAATATTTAATTATAGAAACAGATGGAAGTATAATAGGATGGGGTGCTATATTAATATGCAAGCCTAATAAATATACTAATAAAAGTACAGAAAGAATTTGTAGATATAATAGTGAAAATTATAGAGAAAAAGGAAATTTAAGCAGTATAAATGCAGAATTATTATCCATAAATTATGCATTAAATAGTTTTGAATTGTTTATCATAGCTAAAAAAGAAATAACTATAAGAACAAATTGTGTAGCCATAGTCTCTTTTGTGAATAAAATGAAAATAGATTCAAAAAAAGTAGTAGGAGAAGATGGTTAAATTTTATAGACAGAGTTGCAAATACAGGAATTAATATAGAATTTGAGCATATTAAAAGTAGTGATAATAAAGTAGCAGATATTTTAAGTAGAATAATAATAGATAGAAATTATTAAAACTGTTTAACATGATTTTGTTACACAGATGTCCAGACCAAGACCTTTAAGACCAGAAATTCCACCAGGGAATTCATTTGCATCAAGTTCTTTACCACAGACTCCATTTAATCATAACAGACCAATGTTACAAGACAGACTAAGGTTTGGAAACCAAGAACTGAAAGTTTTTCCAAATAGTAATATTTTTTTTAAAATTTTACCTCATATTTCTTTATCTAGAGAAGAAAATTGTATTTTAGATAATTTATGAATTTTATATAATAAGAATCCAAAAGAATAGAAATATTTTCTTGCATGCATGAATGCATTATCAGAACATTTTAGTTAGAACAAGCAAAAATTTAAATTTTATATTGTTATTAAAGGTAAAACACCAAGAATTTTTCATTCTTGGATAGAAGTTTTAGACTGCATTAAAAATTTTTCAAATCCTCTTTATAAAGGTTTTACAAGTTTTTAAGAAGCTTTAGACACAGCAAGACAACATATAGGAATAAAATTTTTATTTATCTCCTTCTTTAAAAAATTACTCTGATCCTCCATTAGATTTCTCTCCAAGTAAAGATCAGAATATTTTTTGCCAACATTGTGAGTGTATGTAAAGAAATTACAAAGTTATTAATGAAGCCAATCAGATTCTTTTATTAGAAAGAATCCAATTCCAAAAGAAAGTGGCCCAACTAGAAAAAGAAATTTTGGATTTAAAAGTCAATTATCCAAAAGGTACTAGGAGCCCAAGAAGTCCATAGCTAATTCAGCCCAAACGATAGCTGGTAAAGACTTATCAAATCCGTTTAAGGTTGTGGACTTACCAAAAGTTCAACAGACTCAGGGGACTATTGATTCCTCTACTAAAGCAAATAATCAGACTCAGCAGACTGATAAATCTGCTACAGACAAAGGTAAAGAGATTTGAAATCTTTTAGGACAACCCAATGGAAAATTTGATTATTTAGTTAAATATAGTCCACCAGAACATTTTTCAAATAACCCAAATCTTTCACAAACCCAAGAAATTCAGTCCAGTGAAGAAAAGGGAAAAATGATTGTTCAAGATAGCCAATAACTTTTTCAAGATGCACAAGACCCCAATCAAGATACTGTTTCCTTAGAAAAGATTTTTGAAAAAATTGAAGAATTTCAGAAATAATCCAAAAAAGAAGAAGGAACTTCTTCAAAAAGAAAGAAAAAGATTAAGAATAAGAAAAATAATGAAGAATTGAAAGAACAAATTAAAGAAGTAGTAAATCAAGCATTTGAGACAATTTTAAAAAAAGAACCATGGAGAAGAAAAAGAAATTGCAGAATACCCAAATCAAAAGGAAAAAGATGACGCTAGTCCTTCCAGACTTTGAGACGAAGATTCACAGAATGAAGGATACAATAATTCAGATAGTGGGATGTCATTTTCATCAATGGCACGCAATAATCTCAGCACATAATAAGATCTCCAATAATTCAGAAAAAGACAAAGTTTATCAGAAGAAAAGAAAGAAAGTTGAAGAATCTTTGCTATAAACTTTTTGAATAATTAGAAAAGATGTTGGGATTTTTTCAAAAGAAAGATTCCCACTTAAATGATTTTAGACACTTGTTAGACATTTGATTTGCCAGAAGCTTATCGGTAAAGTGAGTGCATTTCTCATTAAGGATAGAATAGACTTTTTTTTGCTCCCAAAAATTTTTCTATTTAAAGAGACAGTTTTATTTGGTTTAG